AAAAAAAAAAGACAGCCACCTTAATACTTTCCAAAAAATATTCCAAAAATATCTTCCAACAGTAATCTTCCCAAAAATTTATCAAAAGTTGAAAAAGCAAACATATAAAAAGCTTATGTGCCCCAAAATCACAAGTTGAACCAGCAAGGAGAAAAACAAAAGCAAAAATTAATTTCTCAATATTCAATATTCTCAATAGTCCATAATAAATGATCAATAATCTGTAATAGATAACAAACACCTCTATTCTGCCGTTAAATTTTTATCTCTATCAAATAAGTCAGTTCCAGTGATATAAGTCACTTAAAGCCTCAGCGGCTCTCCTTCTACTTTCACTCTTTCACTTTCACTCCAACTCTATTATTAGACTCTTTCTCTCTTTCTCTCTGTTCAAGCTTGTTGTATCTTCACCAGAACACCCAACCAGCTCTTTGTTTCCAGATGTAATTACCTTTTAGGTCACCTTCTTAATCTTAATCCCTGCCTTGATCATCGTCGTGTTGTAGATATTAAAAAAGCTTTTAAAAATTGGCGGCACCCCTGAGGCAAAGCCAAACTGCTGTAGATCCGTGGATTGCTCTCGTGTCCGCTTGGCTCTGGCCGGTCAATTGCGGCAGAAATAAAATCTTGCCAAGTTGCCGACCCCGAGCCAAAATGGACCTCCTTCGAGCCCCCTCCATACTCCCCACTCCGGGGTCGTGAATTCAGGACCCAAAATCGCACTAGCAAGGGTCTGGGAGCTCCACAGCAAAGGACGGGTATAAGAAACTAGCCAATACACGTCCTAACGGGGAACCATTGCCAACTGGAAGTCCCAGTCTTTTGATTGATGACCAAGTATTATCTAATTTTTAAAATTGTTCCTTTGATTTTATAAGCAGAAGAAAGTTGGGACAAATGGCAATTCTTCGACAGCAAAATCAACAAAGAGTCCTGTGGCACCATGAAGAGTAATGGTTTATTATGGCATATGATTTTGGTGATGACAACCCACTGTGTCAAAGGCATGAATTATTGGCAAATAAATGCATATTATTGATACATGTTCAAGCATTTGTAAACAGTGGATCAAGCAGGTAGCCATTTCTTTGTAGCGCCTCAAAGCACAGTGAGTAAGGCATTCAGAACTGCAATCTCTGATGATAGTATCAGTGGTGAATCAACCTAATTTCACCAGCAGATAAGTTAGGGTCATTTCAATTATTTTGGGGTGATGGGTGAAAATCAACTAACTTTCCACTGATGGCACTCCTCCTGGTAGTTGGCATCTCTCTCTCTCTCTCTCAGTCCTTTTTCAACATTGCTTTTGCAGATGCTGAAATATGGGACATTTTGTTCCTTTTGTGGGTCAAATGAAATGCAGTGAATTGTGGAAATTGCTTGATGATAGCAGTAGTAATCAGTTTTCCAGGCAGCTGCCAACTAGAAACAGCCATTTTAATTTTCTATAATTCATCTGATAACAATATCATTGTGTTGCTTCCACAGGACAAGAAGACCAGAGGTGGCCAATTGAGTCTGTTAACAATTCTGACCACTGTTGGGAAATGTGCAGGAATAGCAGTAAATTTTGAATTGCTGATACTCATCATGCTGTGATGTACTGCTGCTGTGAAAAATCTCTCTCCCTGACTGTCCTACCTCTGCTACTGTGAAGCTAAGCTCAGAGGGAACAGGGAAACTTGATGGGGTGACAAAAGATGGCATCATTCCTGCTAATCAAAACATCCCAGTGTTTTGCTCCTCCAAGTCCTGTCTCTACTGCACTATTTGCAAGTGATAGTAATGATAGATGGAGCAGAGCTTGGGAGCTGGAGTCCAGTAAAGTAATTTTTCAGAATGTGGCACACACACCCTCCTCAATCTGAACACATTATCTATTGAGAAATTTTGGCTCATCCCAAGCAAGACCATGAGTTAGCAGTGAACAAAGATGTGTGTGTATGTGCCTTGAAATCTCCTGTCAACTTATGGTGATTCTACCAATTCCATAGGGTATTTTTTAGGCAAGGAATACTCAGAGGTGGTTTTGCCAGGTCCTTCCTCTAAACTACAGCCTAAGCACCTGGTATTCATTGATAGTCTCATCCAAGAACTAACCAGGGCTGGCTCTACTTAGCTTCCAAGATCAGATGAGATCTGGTGCCTTTAGGGTATTTATTTGGCCTTGAACAAGAATACTCCTTTTCTTGTGGCATTCCAGTCTGAGAGCTGGCACTGAATAAATGGAGTCCTTGGTTCTATCCCAAGGGCATTTGACTCTAATTAAAGCCTGATCTGGAAAGAAAAATAGATTCTCTATCTTCCATCCAGATTTCTGGGAGCACTCAGGGTAGATCTGGAGCAAATTTTCCAACTCCCCACCCCCAAAGAAATTCAACAATAACAATTCAGCTACCTCCATGTGCATTAACAAGAAAAGTTAGAAACACCACCTTTTTTATAATACCACATATGTATTTCTTTTAGTAGGCTCCTACATGAAAAATATACATTAGCTCCTACCCCACCTCCTGTCAAGGAGAGATTTGTTACCTACCTTAAGTTCGTACATAAACTGAGGACCTAAACACACATTGCAAGTAACTGGCCTATCAGTTTGGAAGGCACAATTCCATCTTTTCTCAGTTAAAATGTTGTTGTTTTCTCACTATGTCTGCATTCACACTGCAAAAATAATCCTGTTTGACACCACTTTAACTGCCATGGCTTAATGCTTGTGAAACTAACAATATAGTTTTTCCCCATTGAGCAGTTTTATATTTTTGAATAGCCAGACATATGTCACTTGCTCCACTTAGGACGTATTCTGTGCTCATTTTAAGTTTCCATAGCAGTTTCATTAACATTCCAGTAATAAAAATGATTATCTTTCATTAACTCCTAAGACTCCACTGAACGAAGAATGGATGAACAATGAGTATTAGACAAGCATTTATAGCATTGCTCAGCAGATGAAATATGTATGTCTACAGCTATGTCAGAATGTGATCATTCCTAAAGGAGTTCCAACTCCATTAGAAATCTTGATACAGGCTAGTGCAATGCAGTGTGGCCTAGGCCACTAACAACACTGGGGTGAGGGAGGCATAGACAAAAATATTTGCAAAATGTTTGAATGTGATGATTAAGCTCAACGTGTTAGGGGGTGCATGGCATTTCTCAGGTATTTATTCATTTCTCTGATGTCTTTGCAATAGGAAAAGTAGAAAGAAGATGACACTCCTCCAAGGTTCTTATCTGAGGATCCTCTCAAAGGATAACAAGCCATATCCAACCTATCCAACAAATGTTAGAGAATAATAGCTGTACCTCCTCATAAATTTTGGATCCTTCACCCTCATCATTCTGTCTCTACAGAAATCTTCAACTCCTGCCAACTTTTGCATACCATAAATTCGAGCCTTGCTGTCCAGTTTATATAATTCTGAGGCAGAGGTTGATGAAAATTACTTTTTTGGGACTATGGCACCCAAAAAAAACCCAGACAACATGGCCAGTGGAGCCTTTGCTCATTTCAAAGTTTTTGACTCACAGTACAGTCTAATGAATCCTTATATATAAAAACAAATTAAAAACTGAGGAACTGATATTACAAGATAACCACTTGTTTGAATAGGCCCATAATCCTTGTTACCCACAGGGAGTTGGTTCCAGGATCCCCCATGGATACCAAAATTCATGGATGCTCAAGTCCCATTAAAGATAATGGCTTAGCAAAATGGTGTCCTTTATATAATATGGAAAATCAAGGTTTGCTATTTGGAATTCATACTTTTTTTGGAACATTTTGAAGCTGTGGATGCTTGAATCCATGGATTAAAAAATCCATGGATAAGGAGGGCTGTATGTATTATTTAATTTTTAAAATGTCTTTGTTTATGTGATTGCATATCTTTCAGGTCATGATGGGTGAGAACTATATATTGTGTGTAGAAGCTGAGGCTTTTTTAAAAAACAAACAAACAAACAAACAAACAAACTAATTAATTCAAGAGGTACTGAAATTGACAGATTGGCCTGTCCAGGCAAAGCATGAAGTGCTTAGTTCTTTTTAAAAAAACTGTTTTGAAATGCCTGTGTTTTCAGATATGTTTGTGCCACCTACATTTCCCCACTGAAAGGCTCCTCACCTTTAACAGCTGCATGGGAGGCAGCTATAACATTGTTATCTCCTTACTGGGAAACCTTACTTTCTGAGATTTTGGAGGAGAAGCAGGGAGAAAGCAGAACCAACAGATTTGCCCATTCCTGTTTTAACTTGTCTTCAAATATAGCATTAGTACCTTCATTTATATACTGCTTCATACCACTCTAAACAGTCTCTAAGCAGTTTACAACTATAAGCTAATTGCCCCCATCAAATTGGGTACTCGTTTTAGCGATCTTGGAAGGATGCAAGGCTAAGTCAACCCTGAGCCCCTGGCTGGTATTGAACCCACAACCTTATGGTTTGTGAGTGAGTGGCTGCAGTACAGGCATTTAACCACTGCACCACCGGGGCTCTATGTCAAATCACAGAACTACACAGTTAGAACAGATCCCAAGGAAGATCTAGTCTAATGTCACCAAGTACAGTAAACCACAATTAAAGTTTAACTTAGAGTCATCCATTCATTTGCCTGTTTAAAAATCTTCATTGAAGGAAAGTTCACCACCTTCTAAGACAGTCTGTCCCACTGTCAAACAGCTATTATCATCAGGAATTTCTTCTTAATGTTTTGTTAGGATCTCCTTTCTTGTAATTTGAATCCATTGTTTTGGGCCCTATTCTTTGGAGGCATAGAAAACACATTCACTCCATATTTGATGTGACGATATTTAAGATATGTATAGATGGCTATAATAATCTGTTCTCTGAGATAAACATACCAAACTTCCTCAACTGCTCCTGTTAGGGTTTGCTTTCTAGACATTTCACTACCTTGGTTGTCCTCCTCTGGACATATTTCAGCTTGCCAAACATCCTTAAACTGTGGTTCTCTATGACAGGTGAGGACTGAGCAAAGCAGAATAAAATGGCACTACTCCTTGCCTTGATCTGGACACTACAGTGCTGTTCAGGCAGCCTTGGCTATTTTTGCCACTGCATCATACTGCTCACTTGGGCTACCAAGAGTTTTTCACATGTACTGTTGTCAAGCCAGATGTAACCCATCCTATATTTGTGTACTTTATTCTTGCCAAAATATAGTAATTATATTAATCCCTATAGAAACTATTTTTAAATAAAGGTTAGGCCTAACCCTCTAATTTGTTAGGGACATTTTGAATCCTTATCCTTTGTTCCAAGGTATTAGTCATTCCTCCCAGTCATCTGCAGATTTCATATGCATGCACTCTATTCCAACAGCCATTACATTCACAAAGATGTTGAACAAACTTGCTCCCAGGTTTGATAAAAACAAACCTGGTCCCCTCAGAATAAATTGTGAATATTCTTTGGGTTCCATCAATCAGCTAGCTACAAAGCAACCTAACTGTGATATTTTGCTAGCTGGTCAGCCACAAAGTTATACAGATCCTTGCCAAAAGCCTTATATTTGACAAACAGACACACACAGAAAATTCCCCACCAAACTCTTCATAAAGAAAAGCTTTATATATACTCACTATGGGGGTGTGCAGACGGGTGGCTTTGGGCCACCCTGGGAAGTGACGGAGTGGGGCCACGGCTACCCCATGCTGTGGCCCCAATCCTCCCTTTTGCTGCCCCAAAAAGAGTGGTGAGCCGTTACACATGGCATGTGGCTCTTCTTCGCCCTTTCTGGCTCACAGCGTCAGGACGGCGTGCAGCTGCCCCACCCCAACTGTGCCTCCAGGCCAGCCCCTTGGGCCAGTCTACAGAGGCCCTGTAACAGCAAAGCCATCCAAGCAATCAACCTGAAGTGTTTCACTCTCATACTAAATAATGTAGGGCCAGTTTTATGCTAACCATGTTAGTGGTAATACATGAGGTAATGATTTTTTCTAATCATTTTAACTGTGTTTAATTGACAAAGAACACAAAACTTACACATGAGCAACATAGCATCCCAGTACAGCCCTGCTGCAGAGAGAAAGAGGGCCCAGAGCAAGAATGGCTGACATAGCAAGAGGAAGCCATTGTGCTATATTTTTTGAATGGAAGCCCCTTGGCCAAAAGTGTGATCAATTGGAAGCAATTGTTACAGCTGCACTTGCTTATACACATTGTGAATTAGATGACTTAGTATTAGATTTTTATGCAGTTTCCAGCAAGGTCATTGCGAATACAAAGTGGGGGTTTAGTTATTTTTGGCATTAAAATTGGGATCTGGGACATTTTGTCCTAACTTTACCATCACGTATAACTCTGATGGTAAGGCCATTAACATGAAACCTAATTATTGTCACCCATTAGTTCAGATCAAGCTGACAAATCAAATCCACAACTATCTTTCACAATCCATAACAGCAAGCCTAACATGTGGGACCTCTCAAGAAGTGTAATCCACATGTCTACATGTTGACATAAACCATATATAGTACACTCCATGTGGAATATCTTGTGTGGCCACTGTGAGGTTTCTATTAACAAATTTACAGTTCTGATCTGCTAGAAAAGTAGCTAGATGTGGAATATCAGTGTACTGTTATGAAAGAAAAACCATGAAGATGGAGAACTGAGACCCATTTAAAATAGTGAAAATAGTGAAAAAAATCCTCTTTTTGTTTATTGTAGCCCTCCTTCTGACAAAGTTATTTTTCTAAATATGAGAGACTTTTTGCTAGGTCAAGCATTCAGAAATATAATACTGGTTGCACTATGAAGTGGTATGGTCCATAATTCTACCTTACTTCTCTGCCCCATTAGTCTACAATGTGCAGACCAGCTTTAAGAAGAGAAACAGATTTTAAGTAATTGCATTCTCTATTGGTTATCAGATGCATTCTGATTCCATTCCCAAGATATTGTTTAGTTTACATCTCCCCAAATCCCAATCACTGCAATTGATTGTTTTAAAATATAGAACTTATTGTTCCCTGCCCCCAAAGATACAAATGAACTTTCCACTTATTTCTGATTCCATTTCCTTTGGTTTTGTTTAAAATTAATGACTGTAACTTCTGGAAGTAGAATCACATCTAGACCTCCCTGTCAGTCTATCCTCACAGCATCATGCTGAACTCTTCATACAATTCTTCTTCTTTTAGTCTTTGTAATTTTCCAAAGCATTTAAGAACACTGGCCAAATATTCTCCCATTGGGGTTCTGTAGGAGTAAACATGGGGGAGGGCTGAGGGATGTGCAATAGTCCCATCAATGTTCTACTTAGAGGCTATTTGTTTAATTTTCTGTGAGGAAAGCATTGATGAAAATTAGCTGTTGCTGGGTTAAAAAATAGCAACCAAATACCCCTCATAGAGGTTTCTTCTGTCCATTCCTTTTACTCTCCATGGGGTGGGAGGAACATATCATAGCTCTCAGCTTCCGTGGCTATCAAATGAGATGTGTACAAGAATTCTGATTCCACCAAACTTTCTTGGCAGCAATTCCACACCCATCATGGGAGCCTTTCCTTCCCTCCCCTTATTCCTTCATGAGTCTTGGATAGTCATCCCAACACCCTCTCAGCCAGGCCTCTCCCAAAGGTTGCCTTGCAAGTACATCAGTCAGTACATCATAGCACATCTTAGCCTCAATCATATTGTTAGTCCCAATTAGAGTAAATTCACTGAATTAATAAGATTTATCTGACTCACCAGTCATCAATTGATTCAGTAAGTTTACAGCACAGGGGTTAACTAATAGGATTCAGACCCTCAAGTGTAGATTGGATTAGGTCCTCCTTGTAAGTATGTAGCATTAGGATCTGAGCCCTGGAAGACTATGAGTTAGAACAGAATCAGGCCCAGTTCAGCAGCAAGTACTGTCAGGTCTAGACCCTAGAAGGATCACAAGCCAGGACAACAATCTAGTCTTGCCCAAGGCTAGATCAGAAATCAGGTAGATGGATGGTGTGGCTAACACTCTTAAACAACTAACAAAATCTGGGGTATAAAGGCCAGAAAAATCTGAAAGTCTCACTGGGCAAGATAGGCTAGTTATCTCCCCTATGGGGCAAAAGGGTTTTCACAGCAATAGGCATAACTCTCTGAGCTCAGTCAGGTTTTCCAAATTCCTTTTGGAACTATTCTGAGGAAGGAGTTTCTCTGAGTGGAAGGAGAGTCTAGAAGGAATTATGTTCAGCCTTTGTGGAGGACTTCGTGAGAAGGTCCTTTTTAACTTCTCCTTCTTTCTTCCTCTGACAAAGGCTTTAGCTTCTCCACAGTTTGTACTGTGAACCTTTTAGAGTGCCCAAATTCAATGGTGTTCCTGCACCGGGTATCACCTGGTGATGGGGGGGTGGAATTTGGGGAGTCAGGACTTCCACCTTGCTGGGGCAGACTTCAGAGGATGGGCCTTCTGGGAGAAAAACCCAAGGCACACTCTTTCAGCTTCAGGCTAGCAATAGCAACCCCCCCAAGAAAACACTATGATAGTTTCACCTTAGGGTCAGCATAAATTGGAAATTACTTGTAGGCACTACACACACAAGTCAAACTATCTCAGCCTCAGAGAATGGCAATGAAAATCCCCCTCTGACAAAGCTTGCCCCATGATAGTTTCACCAGGAACTGGCATTTGAAAGGGAGGGAGGATGCTCTGAGCCCATAAGTTGGAAATGACTTGGAGGCACATAACAACAACAACAACAACAACAAGCATAGTAAAGCACAGAAGGCACAGCACAAAAACAAGAGCAAAGAGAGCCAGAAGGTTTGAGCATGCAGCTCCGAAGACCAGGGCTTGAATCTGAGCTCAGTCATGAAATCCACTACATTTTGCTACATTTAGGCCTTCAAGGCAACGGTTTACCATAATTTTTAAAAGATTAAACTAAAACATGGGCTTCCGGTTGGCAATGGCATCCCATTAAGACTCTCACCAATAACTCTCCGGTGATCATCTTTCACTGCAGGATATCTGGAACCCCTGAAGATATCCTAAGGTATCTCAGTGGGTCCAAAATTGTCCCTTTGGTATAAGGGGCTCAGAGGGGGCTCGTCGGAGGTCCAACAACTGAGATCTAGCCCTTAGAAGATTGGGACTCTGGGCTCCGGATCTTCTGTCCTAGCACAGTGTGGCCGTCGAGCAATCCACGTCCCCATGGAGAAGCGACTTGGATCGCCCAGGGGTGCCACCAATTTTAATAAACAGTTTTTTTAAAAAAAAAAACAGAAGAAAATAAAGGATAGCAGATCAGATGGGATTTGATAATAGCCTAAAGGTAATAATATCCAGCGCGTTGAACTTGAAGGCCAATTACAAAATTGAGTCACAATAGTGGATAAATCGGACATTTATATCCTGTCCAGGAGAATTTGGTAGTCGCAAGATACAGAAAACAACTTATGTGGAATTTATACATAAGAAACTTAAAAGACTTAATTTGAAATTTGAAATAACTTGAGTTGGACTGTTTTTTGATTTTTTGTATC